TCTTGGCTACTTTAATATTTTTACGTGTTTTAGCTGGCAACACTCATTCGACCATGAAAGGGAGCCAGTATTTAAACGAGGCTTAATTTTCTAATTTTTAACGATACAATAGCGACAATTATTATTTAAAAAAATTTTTGTTAGGCTTAACATCGATGAAAATTCAACGCAAAGTAGGTTAATAGCAATATACTAATATACTAATTACATGAGATATAATAATATACTACACTAATAATAGATTTTTTCATACTTTTCGGTTATCCGACCAACCCCAGTCCCCAATTGAGTCGGATAATCGAGGCTCTACTGTAGATCATATTGAAGTGTTGACAAACAAGGAGTTAGAAGACTTCATCAATCAAATCACTTACAAGGAAAGATGACACTAATAAAAAGTTGCTGAACCAGAAACAATAGAGTGGACACTTCAAAAAAAAAAAAAAAAGTTTCAACTGGCTCAGAATTTGAAGAAAAAGATAATTGAATATGATCCTGTGATAAAACACAGCATTAAAGTTTCCCATTTAATAATGGAAGCTTTCGAACCTCTTCATAATATGTTTCATGAAATCAAATGGCAAGGGACAATTTCCCATCACAATGTTTTTCCATAAAATGTCTACTATCTACAATCCCCAGCTGTCAACATTGTTTGCTCACATCATCCAGCCATCAACATCTTCATGTATTGTGCCTTCTCCAGCTTCTTCAGACATTATATCAGAAGTGGAATAGTCGAATAAAATGATAGCTATAGCTAATCCATCACCCTAGTAGATTTCTTCACTTTTTTACTATAGTAATGAGATAATCCCAATAACAAGCAAAATATATGCAAAATATTTTTAATAATCAATTATTATTATTATAGGTTAAATGCAGACATGAAACAATGCAAAATACATAACAACATGTAACGGTAACTATGTTTTTGTTTCCCTCAATCTACCACATTATATGCATGCATAAATATGGGTTTTGTAGATAGTTTGCTACTATCCATGGGAAGCTTTGAAACATATCATCTGCAGATATGGTGGTCCCACTGTTTATATATTTTTCTTCTTTTACTTTGACATTTTTGTTTTGTTGGTCTTATTATTTTTTATATGGGATATTGTTTGGGGATTGGTAATTTTTTGCTTGTCAAAACATTACCAGTTGTAAAATTAAAGAATAAAAAAAAAAAAAGAAAAATACTATTTCAACTGAAAGTAATTTAAACTAAAATACTTTATTTTTTTNACGTACTTTTCCTTTGTTTAAGGGTATTTGGGCAGTTTATTCTCTGTTGTATTCTCAAGTAAACAGTACATACAAGTACAGTACAGTATTTTCTGAGGAAACACTCGTACTTATTTTTTTTAACCCCATTCCTGATAACCCGGCATTTTCACAAACTCGGCCACCCTTCGGTCCACATTAGGCCGAGTTTTCGAGGTTCTACTGTATTAATTACTTCCATAAAACAAGAGTGAACAGATTTACAATGTCAGCTGAAATGATTCAATTCAAAGCATATAAGATAGGTAAGATAACAAAAAGCCTAAAATTCCACTTAATGAATTTAATGTAAGCTAAGGTTGGATTAAACAATTTATGGCTCCATATGACCTTATCATAAAACAGAATATCAACAACTTCCCAAAGGAAAAATTACTTAAGTTGTAGAAACACATTACTGCACTGAGGGAAAGTATGAATAAAGTATGGAAATAACCTCTTCCATTAGCAGTGATGGCTAGCCTAACATCATGCAATTTTTAAACAAAAATGCATCCAAACAAGAAATTACCAGAAAGAATTTTGTTACTGATTATGGAAAATGGCTGGATGATGGAACAACTCTTGCAGGACCAGTTATGATCAATTTGGTTTTCAATGACTAGGTGCACTTTTACACTGGCATTTTATGTTGATAACTGACAGTTTCTGAGGACATTTAGAGGATGAAGAGGAAATTGCAGGAGAAAAAATGTGACACAGTGGCAATGCCAGTAGGAATGACTGATATGTTGCAACCTCTCAGGTTGCAACATATCAGTCATTCCTACTGGCAATTTCCAGCCAACCAACCACCACTCTTTTAAAACACATCTGCAATGGCTATATCATAAATGAAGGTAAAATTCTTTAAAAAGAACATCTAGTAGATGCTTAAAGAAAGCATCATTGAATCAAATGTGAGAGTAAGTTGTGTCTGTATGGCTGTCACTACTACTATAAAAGGTGTCCAAAAGTTTTAAAATAATATTAGTATCTAATGCAATATGAAGATGATGCCAGTGCACAAATCTCCTTCAAATAATGATGATAATAGTGAGGAATTAAATGACAATGATCAATAATTGCTCATCATAAAGGAACAGAAAGACACTGCTACTTATAATTGATAAGTTTTGTAAATATAAATACCAGTAACGATAAATTGCTTTAAAATTAAAGCATGTATTTAAGTTATTTTGAGTAAAGGCCTTACCCTAATATTTGCTTAATATCTTCAGAAAAAAAAAACTGCAGTATGTACACACAAACACACAGTAAGTATGTTTCAAAAACTTTAAAAACAATAAATTTCAAAAATGCTAAAAACTACTGCCAATATTCAAAAGCAATTGATAAATAAATGTAAACAAGAAAAACAGAATTAGTTTACAAAATTAAATTTACATTAATATGTATATAACTGTATACTTTAAAAGCCATTATGTTGAAGCTATCACTTTATTTACGTGTAATTATATGGACAATTTTTACATTTTATTTAAACTGTTTTTTAATTAATTGTTGGGATCAGATGTTGGTTATATGATCCTCCTGTCTATATATAATTAAGTCACTGATTTTTAAACAGATGCTTTCATCTGTTTAAAAATCAAATGCATCTCTTGTTCAAATGGAGAACAAGAGATGCATTTAATTTGAAGAATTCTTTTATTTTGGGAGAAAGTTCTAGAAATAGTATGAGTATATAGAAGGTTTATCCATGCTAGAACCTTCAGGTTATCAATACAGCAGAAAGAGAAAAGATATAATTTCCTCTTTCATTTTTAATGAGATATATACTGGCATTCTTCCACCTCAGAAATTAAGAGTGTCTTCCTTAAAGTGCCACAAATGATAATATATCAGATTAATTGTCTAAATTGCTGCATATACTATATACCTTTCCTTCAACATAAAATGAACAATATAATGTTTGTTTATTCAACACATAATAAACATTATAGTGTTCAGTTTTTGAGCCATCTCATTAGAAATTTCTGTGTTAACTCTATTGTCACAGAATTGAAAGTTTTAACTGTAAGTATAATGTATGACTTAAAATTTTGGTTAAAGACTCACACATTACAACTTGTCTATAAGACAAGCTAGAAATATTGGCTAAGCAAAAGACTAATTATAAAAATAACTGATGTAAACATTTTTGATTATGTTTGATATATATGGTATATCACCAATTATATTTTCATTGTCAGTTAGGAACTGGATATTTGGATATTTAAATTAGATGGATAATGTGGTTAATAATGTGATAATACAGTTGACCCCCATAACACGGGTTCCTATAGTTCGGATTGCTATATCATGGCAAAAAAATTGTGACAGTATTCATACAAACACGCTAAAAAAACTCATATAATTCGGTAAAACATCATCGCTGACTCATGTTGCAACAGGATTGGTCGAACCTAGACCAATAGTGGATATTGCACAAACCATTGAGTTTAAACGAGCAGCAGACCTACTAAAAACCATTTATTATTTAACGTCCATAAAAATTATATTTATATTAATGATGTCTCCAAAGTTCAGCAAATTTTTCGGAAAAAAACAATTTATCAGGAAGCACTTGAGCGCCATTCGATGACAAGCTCCACAACGAAAACAAGTTTAAGCAATGGAGTCGTCGAACGGTGCACACTCGGTAAGTAATCTTACAATTTTTTGTTTATAGCATAGTTTATATGGATTATTCCCAAAAAATTATACATATTTTGGAAATGTTGAGTCAAATTAGTCTAGAATCGATTAATTTTATGGAAGAAAACCTTTCAAACAGCCATAGTCCGTAAACTGCATACGTGCCAGGCTGTGATTGGCTCATGTATTCAAGAACTCTTAGAACATCAATTTCATAAAGAACGGAACGTATCTACCATGTTATAGGGGGGCCGACTGTACAAGAAAAACAAGCGTTTGAATCAGATAAGTTACCATACATGGTATCAAGTTAACTAGTAGATGATAAAAAAAGGAATTACAGTATATGTATTTTCAAATCATTAAATATTAATAAATTAATCTAATAAATTTGTTCAAATAATTAGATTCTATCTAGCAAATAATAAAAAGTTACTGAGATTGGATATATATATGTAAGTGTGGTAAACAGATATTAGTTTTTCATATGTTCGTAACTGTTCTAAATATCAGTCAAGACAAAATATGGTTTAGTGTTTTTGAGTTATTATTCTTCCCTGAATAAATTTTATAATGATTTAAATATTACTGTTTGGTTAATGATTAATTTACACTTTGCGAATTCAATGAAAGTATTAAAAGAAATGTAATATTAAAAAGACATTAACAAGTAACATATGATTTTGCTGAATTCATAAAAATATGTAAAGATTATTATATAAACCCCCTGTAACAGGGAAAATTCCCTAATGTGTTAATATAAATTTGATTGATTGATTAAAATTTGAATTGAAAATCTTTACCAAAAATCTAATTTGATTAATTTACACTTTGCGAATTCAATGAAAGTATTAAAAGAAATGTAATATTAAAAAGACATTAACAAGTAACATATGATTTTGCTGAATTCATAAAAATATGTAAAGATTATTATATAAACCCCCTGTAACAGGGAAAATTCCCTAATGTGTTAATATAAATTTGATTGATTGATTAAAATTTGAATTGAAAATCTTTACCAAAAATCTAATTTAATTAAAATAATAACTATGATACTTAATGTGTTATAATAATAAAATATTCAAGTACTTATTTAGATCATTTGCATTTTAAAAAATTTTAGTTTAATGCTGCATCTAAATATTCAACTAGAGCCAAAATTTTAAAATCTGCAGTACAATAGGAAATTTCTTAAATTTTTAAGATAACACACAAAATTTTTAGAAACATTTAAACTATAAAACTTAAACTGACATTTAACCTTGGCCTAAACAATAGTTTTTCTCCCTAGAGTTAACATGTATATGCAAAAGGAATTCTTTTTATAATAATATTAATAATAATAATAATAATTTCAAAATAAATTTAAAAAATAATACAAGTTTTCAAGATGAATGAGCTCAAGCAATTACTTATATGTAATAAAAAATAATATACTTACAAGCTAACTCCTCAAGAAAATTATCGTCAGAAAGTGCTTTCTTTAATATTGGTTCATTCCAAGGATCATAAATAGCCATTATTAAAGCAGCACACGTGCGTGCACTTCCTTTGATACGAGGACCTAGAATATGGCTGCCATAAATTAACATTTTTGCCATTGTTCTTTTCATAGATATATTTATTTTGGACCACTGACTTGAAAGGATTACTAAGGAACTTTCCCTATATAAAAAATTATGCATTGTAATTATTTCAGAATTTTAGTAAGTTGTATTAGATCTCAAGTTTTTTAAATATTAAATTTTTTATAAAATTCAAAATTTTTAAATTTATAGATTCTTAAACATTTTCCAGTATTGCTGTAACTTAACAAAAAAAGAAACATATGTAGATGATACATAGTATCTGATGATATACAAATGTTGCTAATCAACTGTAAAGGCTTTTACTTTATTAAATAACATTGATATTACTAAATCTGATATTTATAAACTGAGAAATCTATATCTTTTTTCTAATCCATACCATGACTTAAGATAAAAAATTTCAAAGAAAAAAGCAATAATAAATCTCTAGACCTACAATAAAAATTCTTATATATATTCAGTTCCAAAGTATATTTAAAATTACTATAAGAACACAAAATATAACTTGTAAAATCGACAAAGTAATCCAAAAATGAAAACTACAAATTTAAACAATGAAACAGAAATAACTTCAAAGTAAATTCAGTGAATAATGAATTACCATTGAGTACAGATTCTTGTTTATTTACGTCAATATAATGAAATTGTTCAACTAATTAGAAATTCTAAAATACACCACTACCATTTCAACATTATTTAACAATATAAATATATGAGAATACTGTATTTACTTGCATATAAGACAATCTCACATATAGGACAAGATGTGACTTTAAAGATCAAAATAAAGAAAATTCTAATACAATTCTGATTTTTTTTCATTTAATCACAAATAAAATATTATCAAGTGCATGTAAATGCACACATTGTCCTGCAAAACTACTAGCATTTTAAACTTTAAAGGAAAAATCTTGTAAAATATACAACATACTTTCTTAATGTAAAGCTGGACAATCGGGAACTTTTTGCCAATTCTTAACAGTCTAATCCACTCTCTGTTCATTACACTTATGAGTTTCTCCGAATTCTGATTTCTGAATAATCATCTGTTTTCACGTGGGAATGGATTAAACTTATATTGAGCTCTGGTGTGATTTTGGAATTCAATTCAAAAGCTTTGATTTTCCTATTGCTATTTATCTTTACTCCTGACAATACACAAGAACAATTCAAATGACTCAGATAAAATACTTTTATTTTTAAACACCAGAAGGTGAGAATCCGATAAAAAATGCAAATATACAGTTCACAAAAATTATTGCAAAAACGAAAAAAATCCTTTGCTCACACATATAAGATGACATAGGTTTTTGAAGCAATGAAAAATGAATAAAAACCTTGTCTTATATACGAGTAAATACAGTATTCATAGTTTTACATGTAAAAATACAAAAGCAACAAGAAACTGTCATTAAAAATAACAAAAAGGAAAAAGAAAATTTCTGCATTTTTTGGTTTAATTTTTTTGTTTTATATGTTTAAAAATGCAATAAAAAAATACTTTCTTGCTAAGGATTTTTTAAAAAATTTTAATCAGTTTTAAAATATTTTACTTACATTACAATTTTATTGTGAGATTAGAATAAAATGAATTAAATTTCATTATCATAGTCTTCTAGAATATAGTTATTTTGCATTTTAAATTTTTTGTAGCTTTAGAGAAAAATCTGTAAGTTTGAGAGTCTACATAAAGTAATAAAACTACTAAAAATGTTAATCCAAAGAAATAAAATTCAAGAAAAAAGATGGTAATCATAAAATTTAAATTTTACTGAATTTTCAATATGATTAAAAACTGACTTCACTTCTATTCTACACATATTTATAAATAAAATGCTGATGATAAAATGTTTGTAAACATTTTTTTCCAATTTAATATTTGATTTAGTTATGAGCAACATTTATAACCTTTAGCAATAAATTCTTTTTAGTAAACATGATTCTTTACAATTTAAACTGATTGTTGTGAATATTTACATATATTTTAAAAAATAGAATATAAGTTATCATCATCAATTGCATGAAAGTTCCAGTAGCTTTTAAATATAGAATGTATTCACAACTTTTTCAAATATTATTTAAATAAGATGAAAGATATTTCTAAATTAGATGAAAGAACCAAACATTTATTAATTAGCAACTTTCATTTATCAATTGCATTGATAAAAATTAAAGATATAGACAAACATAAGAGTCAATTTTTATTATAGCATTTAATAACTACAGTTTGATATCCTGAAGAGTCAATAAAAAAGTTAATTATATACAAAATTTATAGTTAACATCAACATATCATAGAAGATATTGATCAATAATTTAAAAAACACTAACTAATATGTATGGTATAATATACACAAACACAAAAGGTAAATAAGCTCAATACACAGTATACTGAATTAATATTTAGTAACAGTAACAATAAACAATTCTTTTATTTAAAGTTTCCAAGGGAAATCATAAAACCATGCAACAGTCATTCTTCAGTAATAAATATCTAGCACCTATTATACGAGTATTATTCAAAATAACTTTTATTACTTTAAAAATAATTACATGCAAACTTACAGTAAAATATATACATATATTTAAATTCTTAAGAAAATTTTCCTTGCCATTTTTATGTAAGTATAAAATATGGTACATAAGAAAATCAGGTGGCACATTAAGATCATGCATATAATTATATTCATTTAATGTAACATGCTTTAATACAGTATTATTTTTTATTGGCTTTTAAATTTATAAGATCAATAATATGCTTAAAATTTTGAAAATATAAATATGTTTAAAACAAATTTTAATCTATTTCCATTATAATTTAAAACTTAACATAATAATTAAAAAATATATAATTCTTACTTTAGGACAAACTGATACAGTTCTGAAATTTCTTGTAAATAATTGGAAAATTTGGCTAAACACTTCCATAACGTTATCAGATGAGATACTTTCTCTTCAAAGCTTTCATTATTAATACAGTTTATTACATGAAGAAGTGCCTGGAATTTAAAAATATTTAAATTTAGTTTTATGAGTAAATTATGTTAATATATGTATAAAAATATTAAACATTTCAAAACTTTTTGTAAACAATGGCCAATAGATATAGTTTCAAATAGCTAAACCTAAATTAGTAAAATCTCTGTCCTAAAATTTACTAGTTACATAATTAATTATATAGTCTTGTTTTATGTGAGATTATTATATGTGGATTCATGTTTTCATGGATGGCAAATGTTGGGCCAACTCAGTGGATGCACAGGGTAATTCCACTATTAATGCATAAGTTTATTATTATAATTATTATTAAATTTGGTATATATAGTAAAAACAAAAGTAAAACATTTTAAACACATTTAAAAATTTTTGTTTATTATAAATGGTGGTGTAAGTTGTAAGTATCTAGGACTATTTACAGTAAAACAAATTTATGTGGAATTTCATATAGTACTTGATGATAAACAACCCCTACATAAAACAAGACCATACTGTAATGCAAACTCAATAAATCATTGTTAGATTTGTATATAATTAGCAAATTTAAAAAAAGGATAATGATTATATATACATATATAGTTCTATAAAGCATATTTGAAAATGATAATAGTAGTAATTAGTGATAATAATCATCAAAATATTATTTATATTTACATAAACTATATTAAATAAACTATCATACTATCCTGTGGCCTCTAAAACATTGCAAATTGTTTATCATAAATTTCAAATATTTAGAGATTAGTATATATGAGAAATACAGTGGGTGATCGGTTAATGAACAAATTGGATAACGAACACTTCTGCGAAAGATTTTTATGATCAGACAATGAACACATGATCAGATAACAAACACCCCACAGAACAAACAAAAGAAGCTACGTAAAATAATGAATACCAATTGGTCTTCCCTTGTCTTCGGGCAACAATTCAAAACTTTTCGGAGTGTGGGAGACGTCGACATCGACACTCATCCCAGTATATACCGATTGGATAATATTCCTCCAAACTTTGAGACTCTCCCTTGAAATTCCAGCCTTTTATTTTTCTGTCAGAAACAATTGTTTTATGTATTCGCGAGACTGTCGGGTAGGCACTCGTTAAGTTTTGCGTCTGTTTTTCTTTTTAAAAGGTGAGAGTATAATAGCAAAGGTAGAGAGTGGGCAGAAGATGCTTAATGTTACTTGGCAGTATGGCGTCAACAGGTCTACAGTAGGCCACAGTTCGATCTTATTTAAGAAAGATACTGTATAATCAAGAAGACTCAAGCAGCTAAAGGAGTAACAAAAATCACATCTGAGAAATAAAGAACATCGAAGAGTTCATAATGAAACCTGAAACGGATCTGATGACAGAATAACGCCAAGAAACTCGGCGAGATATGTTTCCTTCTGAAAAAGAGGATTAATGCCGATATCTGCTATTAAACATCATCTGAAGAAGTGGGAGGATGTAATAACAATGGTCTTAGAATGGCATCCAAACCAGGTTGAGGCTTGGGGATTTCTACAATTGCAATGTTATTAATTACTTACAAAAAATCCTGAAGAAGAGAGACAAGCAATCAACATTATACAGATTCTTTAACCCTTTCAAACAAAAAAAACATGACTAATAAAAATGCAAGACTGTGTATGTATGTATTTTTATTATTACATATAAATAAACGTAGTAAGAAAGTATACATTTTTTATTTTTTGGGGTCTACCGAAGGAATTAATTAAATTCCCATTAAAACCTATGGTAAATCGATAATCAGTTAACAAACAATTCGGATAGCGAACAAAGTCTTGGAATGGATTATGTTCATTAACAATCACCCACTGTATATTCAAATATCTCCTTACAAATACAGTAGTAGTAATGGAAACTGTTTTATCTGTGATATACACCAACAGATGTATAAAGTAGCATATTTAAATTATGATTGAATTTTGTAATGATAACATATGTAACATACAGAAGAAACCAAAAAATACAATTTATTACATATAATACTAAATTGAATTTGAATAAGTGTTATTTCACATCATAACAGATCTACCCTCCGATAACATTATCTGAAGGTAGATCTCTTCCATACTAAGTTTTGAATAATGGTGATTATGTTAACAGACTTTCAAAAAAAACTAAAGAATGCATATTTTTTTCTCTTAAACCTTTGCCATTTTGAAGTGTTATGTCTGAGAAATATGACATCAATGTTGCAAGTAGAGTGATGCAAAATAAAACTGAGTAACACTTTCATATTCTGTAAGCAGATTTATTTTGTTGTTGCAATTTTAATAAAAGAAAATGAAATACTTATTACTTTCTATTATTGTCTCTAGTTAAAGTTGAACATACTATTTCATTTTATAAATACAATCACAATTTTCTAATAAGTGTTAAATTTTCTTATGCATTGTGATTTTTGGGACATTTTGTAGAACAAGAACAAAAGATTATAAAAATAGTCGTATGTGCAATTTTAACTAGAGAAAAAATATTAAATTTATAACTGCTGTAAAATAAAAGTACAGGGTTAAGAACCATTGGGTTTAAAACTCCTGTAACTTCCAAAGTATCAAGCTGAATTATCCATATCCAGGCCAGACAAGAAATGAAAGAAAAACTCTCCAAATTTGAAGATTTCTTTGCAACATACCAGGTGACAGCACAATGTCCATTGTCAAAATGGTGGCTATGCAGTAGAAGTCATTTTGGTGACCTTTTCTTCTAACAGGCTGGGTTTCACCTCATTAACATACTGAGATGCCTCAATATCTGAATACAGAACTCCTACACAGCATAATTGGGCATCATAGTAACAATACCTTAGCACTATATAGATGTCTCCCAGATCTCCAGACCATATACCATGTGATTTTACAGGTTTATGTTCTGCCATTACCACATCTTTGGCAGAGCTCTGGGATCACATTACTACTGCAATTATGACCATCCAGGAAACATACTACAATGTATGGGGCAAACTGGACTACCACTTGAACATATGACATGTTACTATAAGGAACACACACAGAACAACTGTAGTCCTATAACACAAAGTCGGACAGTTTCTAGTTCTTTTAATACATCACTCATTGTTAAATCTGAATTATTGTTGGAATACAGTTGTTTGAAATCCAATGATTCATTTTTAATAACCTTGTGCTTCAATTAAATTTAGTAAATTACAAATATAAAAAGAATAAGGGCAAATTGAACCTGAATCAGAAATCATAGGCATTAATGACCAGGCCTCACCACAGTTGTCTTCTGTTTTGTCAGGCATACTACTTATTAACTGTATGTGAATTTCTTTTCAAGTTTTTTCCTTGTATATTGCCTATTCACATAAATGGGTTTACTGGCTTATACAAAGTAAAAGATACCAGAATCCAGATAATAAATTGCATTTTATTAAAAAGTATGCATAGCAATTTGTGGTCTTTCCTTATCAGAATGTTTCTAATATAGGAAGACTATTCTGTCACTAAAATCTCTTAAAATATACATAAATATTAAATAAATTTTTGTAATTTGACGTTTTTGATTTTGCAATGTAATGCAAATTCATTTTTAAATGTACTCAAATGGAATATAATAATATATCTACAGTATATTCCTACATTCAAATAATTTTTTGAATCACCGTTCTAAAATCTGACAGTTCCTTTAATTAGAACCCAACAGTCAAAAGCATTTCTTCATGTAAAAATTAGATGCTAGGAATTAAATGCCCACCAGTGGCCGAGTGGTCTCCATTGCCGCTCATAGCGGTGGTGACTGGACCCTAAACACTGGGAAGTTCGGTCGTGGATTCGTGCCGCGATCGGACAGGCTGGCTGCTTGGAGTTTTCTGGGTTTTCTCCTTGCCAAAACGACTAAATAGGAGGCCAGTTCCCCATAAAAGTCCTCCCGGAAGGCATTCTTTCCCCGCGCGCGCGTGACACATCATTCAAGGAAGAAGGCAATGGCAAACCACTTCCTCAACTCTGGCCAAGTAAACTACATGGACAAGAAACGACTTGTCCATGCAGTCACCAGGAGTCGACGACGACTTGATGGAACTTAACAACAACAAGGAATTAAATGTTTAGTTACTCAAGTTAATTTCATCAAAGTTGTTGTTTACATTAGTTCATGACCTTAAACTCTCTCATAGACATTCCAAAATTTAACATATTAAATGAAAAATAAAAAAATTTGATTGCTAAATGAAGAGAAGTATAGTGAGAATATAGGTAGATGACACTTGAATATAATAGTCATTTTGCTTAAATTTAATGCATTACATTCATTCATCTAAGTAAAAAAAAATAAGGGCATTAAGTTAATCTATAAGAAGTCAATGATAAGTTTTTATCACTATACACAATTAAAATATTTTCAACAAAACAGAACAAGATAAATTTGATTTAGCAATCAGTTTATGAGTTTATGGTATTTTGTCAGTAATAGTCATTTTGCTTAGTTTTGGAATACTTAAGAAATCAGTATTATTAAAAATGTTTTTTTTAAGTGTTGAATCCTGAAACAATACTTCTAATATCAAATATTAAATTTCAATTCCTGAAAACTATATTATTTCTGAAATATATGTCAGAAGACAATTTTATTTTATTTACAGATATAAAAACAAATATTTAATCCTTTATAAATACAGTGAAATGTCAGTATAACAAAACTGTGGAACTATACAAATATTCTCATTATACTGAATTGCGTTATATTGAAATACAAAAATGCAAGGATTAAAGAAATTTATTCATAATAAAAGAATCGCTTACATTTTGAAATAAAAAAGTTTTTAAAAATGCATTTATCTATTAGTATTTATATGGAACCAAATCTCTCATTTCCAAAATATAACTTATATTAAATACAGAATTTGTATTACAGTATAAATTTTTTTTATCAAAAATATCATGAGCAAACAACTAAAATAACACTATAGTAGTACTGATTAGTTTTAATCTGCCTGTTATTTTCTGCTAAAAGCAGCCTAATTTTTATT